TTTTCAGCATATGTGGAAGACAAATTGCGTGTCTTTTAAAACCACAGTATGTGATCAGATCCCAAAGGTACAAAAGGAGTGGTAGGAGAACTCCTCGCGAGATCAGATCAACGCGGCATGGTGGAGCACTTTATGAATGTTCTTGATTTGAAAAATGTTACAGACCGTGAACTTGATAAACTTTCCGGCGGAGAGCTACAGCGTTTTACAATTGCTGCTTTATGCGTTCAAAATGCTGCGGTTTACATGTTTGATGAACCTTCTAGTTATTTGGATGTGCGTCAGCGACTGACTGCTGCTCAAGTAATAAGATCCTTATTAAAGGAAGATAACTATGTGATAGTTGTGGAACATGATCTCTCTGCCTTGGATTATATATCTGATTTTGTATGTGTGCTATATGGCGTTCCTGGCATTTATGGCGTTGTGACAATGCCCTACGGTGTTCGGGAAGGCATCAACGTTTTTTTGGATGGATTTGTTCCAACGGAAAATTTACGCTTTCGCGAAGAGGGTCTTACCTTCCGTATTGTTGATGATTTTGACGAGGTCACTAAACGCACCGCTCAGAACAGTTATCCTTACATGACCAAAAAATTGGGATCTTTTACCTTGACCGTAGAACCTGGAAATTTCTCTGATTCTGAGATTATTGTGTTACTTGGAGAGAATGGCTGTGGTAAAACCACATTTATTCGCATGTTGGCTGGTCATCAAAAACCAGATAACGGTGCAGAGGTGCCACAGCTTTCAATCAGCTATAAGCCCCAAAAGATTGCTCCCAAGTTTCAAGGAACCGTGAAGGATCTTCTTCAGACGAAGATTTACGATGCCTTCAGTCATCCTCAATTCCAGACAGATGTACTGAAGCCCTTGACTATTGAAGAGCTTTTGGATCAGGAGGTACAAAACCTCTCTGGAGGTCAGCTTCAAAGGGTTGGTTTGTGTATTGCTTTGGGAACGCCGGCAAATATATATTTGATTGACGAGCCAAGTGCCTATCTGGATTCGGATCAGCGTATTATAGCTGCCCGTGTTATCAAGAGGTTCATCATGCATACAAAGCGTACAGCCTTTATCGTAGAGCATGATTTTATTATGGCAACGTATTTGGCGGATCGGGTTATTGTGTATGATGGTACACCTGCTGTGAACTGCAAGGCCGGTACTCCCTGCGGTCTGTTGGAAGGCATGAACAAATTTTTGAAGAGTCTTGACATCACATTTCGTCGTGACCCCACAAATTTCCGTCCAC